GATTATGCTAAAGAAAGTAAATATAGATTGGAAGTAGCATACAAAATAGCTAGAATAATGATAGAAGAACATAAGAAACAGAATAAAATACTATATGACCACAAAACAAACAACATAGATATGTCAATAGGTTATTAAGTCTTACTAAGAAATGAAACAGGTCATAAGTTAGATTATAAATATACTGGTCCGTATAAAGTAACGGAAATAAGAGATAGAAATAACGTCATAATAATGAATAATAAAAATAAAAAACTAACAGTTCATAAGGATAGACTAAAAATTTTTATTTCATAATCATATTTAATATGGCCATACCTAGATATATTGGATAATTCTTGAATAATTTTCATGATTTTATTTTCTTTGTCGTTATTAAGTACGATTATAAATATAAGAAATAATAATAATAATAAAAAAATTAAAAAAAAAAATAACACAAAAAAATCAATCCTTGAGAAAAAGAAATTACTATAATGAATTTTACATTTTTATATCTTTACATTATGAAATGTTTTTATATTTTCATAAATCTTAAATATTTCTATAACAAAAACAAATTATATACAAAAATTTTTTTTTTCAAAATAATTAATTTCATTAAATAACTACACGTCCATAATGTTACGTTATTTCTTTAAAAAGAGAGGTTTAGTGTGTATATGCCTTAAAAGAACACCGTATAAACATAAAGTATGCGGCACTTTGTCGCATATAATAACAATTATACATTAAACAAGCCCAGAGCCACTTTATATATTGGCTCTGGCTCATATTACGCAGCGCAGTTCAATAGCCTCTCTAGCTGACCGTTTATGCTTACGCTGCATTTCCCACGCTCCGTCTGAGCGCATACCATGAGCTCACTAACACAGGCATATGCAAGCTACTCACTCTCCCTCTCTTTGTAGCTGTTAACCAATAACAGCATAAGTATATACATATATCCATAGGTTAAGCGCAATATTTTACTTTGAATAAATTCATTCTGAAAACTAAAATCAAACGGCACAGACGTGCCAGTGTATTAAATTAAATTGTATATCGGTAACGACATTACACTTCTTATGTGCGATCATTTCGTATTTAAAATTATTAAATATATCAATCCTTTTTTACTATAAAAGACCCCATTCATAAATTATTTAAATGTACGTAATAATTCTAGAAATGTATACTACTTATCCATCACAAGGAATAAAATTCTGTGAAATTTTGACGTCAGAATATATGATGGAACGACGTCTAATATATGGTAGGAACGACAGAGAAATCAGCAAAGAACGCAGTGCCATTATTTGTTCCTTTTCTTTGTCCTCACCATGGCTTACAAACCTCTTGTCGATCAGAACGGGGGACGAAGAATAAATGGGGTTTCATGTGCATTGTTGTTGTTGTTTTGCAAGTGATTTGTTGTTGTTCCTATGGTAAATGAGCTTTTTTTGGGTTTGATTTTTCGCTTGGGTGTCATCCCGATCTATGTCTCATGAATTTTAAAACGGTAGAAAAAGCTCAGAGTGTCAGTTCATTTCTTTCTCTTTATTACTCAATGTACCAGAGCGAATCAAATTGCGGCGTGGTCGAGTCAAAATGGTGTCCCTTTTACTGAAACAGGGCTTATAAAAAGTTCCATTTGATTTGCCAAAGATGCTGCCATGTCGTATATCTGATCTAACACGTCGCTACCTAACACGATTTACAGTATGATTGTTATATGATAAAGAAACCACGTTGGGGTCACCAATTTGGTGTTAACCTATAGCCTCTGTTCACTGGATTAAGAAATGTCACATTTTCAAATTTCACATATTGGTGTCCACTAGTTGTCGATAACATATGAGTGGCAAAAATACCGCTTCTTTAAATAAACAGCTGATCTAGTTGTTTTAATTTAAATAGGAGCAGCAAAGTTTTTCTTCCAAAACTGAAAAATTGTGCTCTCGAAGAAAGGGCTCCATTTTAGGTACTCTTTTCGACATTTCGCCAAGTTTACTTTAAAACAAGTAAGAGGTTCTAGTCAGGAGCTCCCGGCTAAGGAATACACCAAGCCCTCTTCTTCCAACAGCAAATATATTAAAAAAAAAGTTCCCTTGGCAGGGTTCGAACTTTTAACTGACCGCATTACTTGCTGTCGACTCTACTCAATAGCCATACCAGCAATAAAAAAAAATTTTTTCCCCGGTAGGGCTCGAACTCGGGACAAACCGCACTCAGCAGCTACACCAGTAATCAAGTACTTATGATAAAAAAGGAACTAAAATAGCGTTACAAAAAAGTCGCAGTTATCATCAATTATCATTCTAACAGAGAATGCGATAGAACGCGAAACAGACGCACATGAATGTGTGTGTTTACATGTATACACAAATTCTTGATGTTTTCGCTAGCTGTGCCATCCAATTGCGCAGTTACATACAACTTTGGTTTATTCTTAACCGATCTTTATCAATCTTCTACAGTATATCTTGTTGTACCATGGAATATTTGTGTATTCTGAAAAAGTCAATTGCATTTAAATTGTGGCTTAAATTGGTTGACAATAAAAGTTGGGATATTTAAATGACTTATAGCTCTGCGGTGATAGCGAGGAGGTGGCGATAGATATAAAAGGAAAGATAGTTGACATACTTGTCTAGCTTGACTAGCTCTTATTATTTACCCAATTTACTCAAAAAACAGAATGTCGATATCGAATTTTATCGACTGCTTCGAAACGGAGTAAATTGTCGATTATCGGAAATAAACTCGGTCTGCGCGAGAACTTGGAGCACCTACATCTAAAATTTCAGAGATCGTTGCGTTCGTTGCGGACAGACGGACGGACAGACAGACAGACGGAGCTGCCTAGATCGACTCGGCTATTGATTCTAATCAAAAATTTATATACTTTATGGGGGTATGCACAAATACAATATACCATTATACCAATTTTTACTGGGTTCAGGGTATAAAACAGTGGGATTATTCTAATTTTAAATATCTATTTTAAAGTTTCCGCTTGCTTTCATTGATATTTCAGCTGTTTATGGTTACGATACTTTCGAAGTATATTGAGCGAAAAAGTTTAGAACTTACGATCGACGCAAAGTGCTTGTGCTTTATCCATGAAATGCATGCTTTATTTAAATTAACGAATAATTTTACAGGAAAATTTAAGAACTTATATAATTTTTACACAAGGCGCTTCTTCCGCAATAACTATGTTAAGAAAATAGCACACATAGATTGATTTCACTTTTCTTTTTGGACAGTGTATGCTCGAGAAAAGTTCTTGTCTCAGCCAATAGCGTGCGTGCACCTTTCGTTGTATGCGTGAATTATACATGCATAAGAACTTTAAAGTATGTTTGTATGTGTTGATATTCACTGCTCTGGCTTTAGCTGGCAAGAAATTAATTTTGTTAGTTTTCTAGCGCAGATCATGACCTATCCCAAATTTGTGTTGATATATGAATGAATTTTGTGTACTGAGGTTGGCTCCGCAGAAAATACCCGAGAGTCATATTTAGTTATGACCCCATTATATTTATAATGGTCTCCTCGCGGTGTTCCCTGCGTACTTTATTCTTTATAATCGAACAACAAAAATAATAAAATAAAAAAATAAAAAATTAAATGTATCCCTGGAAAAAATAATAATATAATTAATAATTTCAAATACAAAAAATTACATAAATATTTGCATCGACTTAAAAATACAAATTTTTTGGTACGGAGTACACAAAATGCATTCATATATCAACAGTAATTTTGGGTAGGTCGTGATCTGCGCTAAAAAACTAAGAAAATTGTTTCTTTGCCAGCCAGAGACTTTGTCAGAGCAGTGGATAACAACACATTCAAATATGCTGTTATGTATGTATATTCACACGCATACAAACATAATTGCTTGCACGGCCGTCACAGAGCCAAAGCTGAGACCAAATTCTATTTTTAGCTTTTTCGTTCTCTCGGCTGTGAGAGCGCAATGCTACAGATTTCGTTTTCGTTCTCAATTTTCAAAAAATCAAGCTGCATAGTAGCATTTTGTTGTATGGCGTTACTCATCTTAGTGTTTATATTGTCTGTGCTATTACACATATTTTACTTAAATTCCTTATATGTAAAGAAAGTAATTTATAGCCTGTGTTCAATGGTTTAAGAAATGACACATTTTCCAATTTCACATATTGGTGTGTAACATGTGAGTGGCAAAAGTTTAAATAAACATCTGATCGAGTTTCTTTAATTTCATAGGCGCCGTAAAGTTCTTCTTCCCAAACGCAAAAAGTGCGCTCTCGAAGTAAAAGCTCTATTTTAGGTGCTCTTTTAGAGATTTCCCCTTGTTTAGATTCTAAAACCTATGGGATTATTCTAATTTTAAATTTCTTATTTAAAGTCTCCGCTTGCCTTCGATTGTATATCAGCTGTTTATGTTTATGGTACTTTACCATTTTTCACAACATCGATAGAAATTTCGATTAATCATCGTACAATGCACGAAATGTTCGGGGCGATTTTACACATTTTTTAAAAATGTGACATTTTTGAAAAGTGTGACTTTTTTGAAAAATGTGTGAATGTGTTTTCTTATGGGGAAACAGAAGGGCCGCATTTTACACATTTTTAAAAAATGTCATATTTTTAATATGCATATAGAACAGATAACAATACAGTCACAAACGCAATGCTGTTTACGGAATTTAATAAAGGCACGCATGGATGTGTGTGTGTGTACATGTATACAGAAATTCTTGCACTTTGTTATTTGCTTCTATACCGATCTTGAAGAATTTTTTTATTGTGATATAGAATATTCTTATAATTTGAAAAAGATAATTACTTTAAAACTGTACTTTAATTGGTGGAAAGTTCAAATTGGATTATTTATTTAATCTGTGGTCATGCCATTCAATGGCAGCAGGGGCGACGATAGCTATGAAATGAAAGATACTTGATGTATTAATACTGTGCAAAAAGCTATATGTCAAAATTGGTGACTCTAGCTCTTAAAGCCTAAGAGACTTGCCAAAAAACAGGATTTGAATTGAATTTTATCGATTGCTTAGAAACGGAACAAGTTATCGGAAACAAAAACGAGCTGAGTGGGAAGGGGTGCTGAAATTCTTGCGTTCATACATGCGCACAGCTCGACGCGGCTGTTGCTGATCATCACGAATATACATATGTATATACTTTATAGAATCGGAGATACTTCCATCTGCCTGTTACATAAATTTGTCCAGATACATTTTACCATTTTTCCCCATTTTTAATGCAGAAACACTGGATATCTTCCTTGGCCGATGGTGAAATGATGGAATGGCGACTTTTATAAGCGTGAACTCTGCGAAGCATAATGTGCGTTCATACCATCGGGCAATGCTCGAGCGATGTGGTGGTATTGTGCTGGTCGTTTGGTCTCTTTTGAATTTGGTGGTACACAAGATAAATCAATGTGTAGTGCCCCTAGTTTTTTATAGCTTTGGGGAGCCTAAACTGGGCACTTGGGGTAGGTCAGCTCTCTGGTCTGGGGAGTTAGCCCATTCTACCCCGTTTTGTCTATGCTGTGCAACAGGCCTTCAAGGGTCAGGGTGGTCAGGGGAGGGTGACGTTTCCTGTCTAATCGTGTTTTCTTCCAGGTGTAAACTGTGCAAAGCGGTGCACAACAGCTTAAAATTTATTCACAAAATTTGCCAGGTAAACGGGTAATACAGCCAATAACCATCCGACCACGCGTCCTCACCTTTACAGCTCGACATTTGACATTTCTTCAATAGCAAGACATTTTCCACTTTCTCGAGCTTCTAAATCGTAAACATTTTTGCGCCGACTGTAACTTTTTACTTGTTTATTTTTTCGTGTTTCAAATCTTTAATTGACTAATCTAAATTTTTATTTATAATAATCTAAATACTGCGTAAATAAGTAAATGTAATGTGCCATCTAATAAAAACGACTTCATAGAAAAGTAATTTTTGTAGACCTTATTAAATTATTCTTTAACAAAGAGTTAATCAGGACAGTATCATGTGCATGTTAAAAACATAGCGCCCATGCCAACTGTGCATACTAATAATTAGATTTGTAACATATATGTAATTAATTATTTTCCAGTAAAATTACTTCTAATCCACAACCGTATATATATAAACGCTGATTTTTATCTATTAGAATTCCTTTTATATCAGATAAACATGTATAACCGATGCGAGTGTATTTTAAAGTTTTTAAATTTACCATATAAATTTGTTTATCCATACTACACGTATAAGCACGTAATTGAGAAGCTTCATCAACCTGTTTCAATGAATGTATTCCTAACGCATTTATCTGAGCATTATGCATGGCCGAGAATTGCGTGCTTTGTAGGACACTCATGTCGGATTTTTGGATTGTGGTGTACTTAAAGATTTCATCGTCACCACCGGACAAAATATGTAAACGGGAACAATCGTCTAACGTGTCAAAAGCATTGATACCAGACGCGTGCAACTTAAGCTCAAACCGTTTGAGACAAAGAGTCTTATCGAAACCATACAGCATGCCATTTGTGGTTGTGATTAGCAATAAATTAAGATTATTTAAAGACCGCATCTGAAGCGGACATCTTTTGATATCAATTAGACAATGTACGTTGATTTTTGTAGGTCTTTCTTGCTGCCAGTGGAGCAACCGAATTTTTCCATCAGCGCTGGCAATATAAAGTGAAAATTCTCCAGGTGCAGTATGCTGTAAAACGTTAATTGCCATTAACCGAGCTTCAAGTAAGCCGTTATCGTCACTTGTTGATCTTACTATGTGCGAACACACTTCACTTACGACTGGGCCATTTGTGTCAAACTTATTAATGCATAGCTGCGCCCGACCTCCAACTGAGAAGATAAGCCAATAGTTTACAACGTTTTCACATTTTATAGGGCATAGTACTAAGTGTCGGATGCTAGAGATGTGCGTATGCAACTCGGCACACTGATAAAACGACTGACCGATAACCTGATTAATTTTAATAATATTATCATCACCGGCAGACACAATATATGGCTGTACATTGTTTTCTTCAATTAATTGAATAATATTACAACTTCGTATGTGCCATTCATTTCGCAAAGTCTGCCATAAACATGAAGACCATTTGTTGTAAAGTAACTCACGATAGTGAAATACATGATTTTGTTTAATATATATTATATCAAGTTCTTCATTGTTTAACTGATAGTCCCAACACCGATGGCCTCCTCCGCATTGCAATTGTAAAACCACGTCATTTTTATTAGACCAAGCCACAATATGATTGTTATTAAATCCGATCAACAAATCTATAGTCGGTGATGCTTCTACCCACGCTAAAGGCACACACTGACGTTGCAAAAAAGTTAAACGATAATCGGTTAAATTTAATCGTAAAAGTCTTAGAGCGGATTCGTGTCCAGCACTTAATATGTATGCAATTTTCTCATCAATCTTTAACAATTGAAGAAGAGTAGATCCCATTTTGCCATGCAAGCGTTTAAGCGTGGTCTTTAGTTGTAAATTTGCACAGCCTTCTCGTGCGTAAAGCATAAGATGGCCATTGCGAGTGCTTAACAGCAAGCAATCTAGGCTCACAAGCAGTGCAGCTGTTATCCAGGGTTCACGACATTTATTGATAATTATGCTTCCCTCAACATCCATATTATTTCCCTTGAGTAAGAGACAGTTTCCATATTCATCAGATATCAAATAAAGTTCTTTGCTGAGGAAATGAAACGATTGAATAAGACCATTGAGTTTGACTCCATCGTAGAGTAGCTTAAAGCGTTCTGTATTCTCGTTATAGCTTAGAAGTGTAACACGCTGGTAGCCACAGGTAGCAATTATTCCATCGTTAATAGCTAAAACTGTGCACTTATAGGTGGGGAAGTCTGCAACCGATTTCCAAATGGTCTTTTCAGATGACTTAGTAAGTCTCATATAGAACATGTTATTTTTATTGCTTAAAGCAATGATTGTACTATTATTTAAATATTTAATTTTTTTCATAAATTCGGTGGATGAATCTAACGATATCAGTTGGGTTGAATGGATGTGTTTTGGGCTTAAAGTCATTTTTAAGTTGTAAGCAAGTACGTTTCCTGTTGACCCTGTGCTATAGAGCGTTGAGGTAGAATGATCGAAACTCAGTCGCCATATTGGCGCACCAAATTGTTGACGCCGTTTGAATAACAATTCACCTGAATGACTCCAAATGCATATATGGGAATCCTCACCTCCACTTATAACAAAAATTTGGCCTCCTGCAAAATAAAGTTCAGATGAGCTTAGAAATTATTTATATTGAATGCCCCTTTAAAGAGTACTTTGATTTTTTCATTAAATTTGTAATGCATCTATATATATAAATATATATATATATATATATATGTATATATATTTATATTCTAAGTTAGCAACAGTTGCCGAGATGCTATTGCCGTCTGTCTGTTTCAATGCGAATTAGTCCGTTTTTAAGCTATCGTCTCTAATCATTATAGTGGAGCGTCTTTCTATTACAGGCAGTATTTATGTCGAAAACGTCTGGATCGGACCACTATATCATATAGCTGCCATATGTATGGATAACTTTTTTGTTTATTAATGTATTTATTGGTTCCACTTTGCTCCCTGTGAATAGACAAAATCTTATCGAAAATTAAAATCTTTGTTTATCAATATATATTGAGTAAGCCCGGAATTTATTATTTAAACTATACTGTTAATATATAAACCAAATATAATTAATATCGTACTCCTATATTATATATCTCAATAGCAAGAATCGGTCGAACATTTTTTTTTTTTATGGCAGTGTTCTGTTTTCCGATAAATTTGCATACAACTTTTTTATATTCTAGCATATTTAGAAGCTAGTAAGACAAATGCACTAACCAAACAACATATAGACTAGACATGAGTACCGGAAAGTAGTCACAAAATGTATCGGAGGCATCTGGTCCAAACTCGCGAGTAAGGGAGTAAGATATACATATGATGTATTTTTGAACCACTTACTCTACAGAAAAGTGCTTGGCGCACTCTCTTCCATATGATTTGTGCGATAGAACGGCAACGCGCGTCAGGCGCGTGCCAATAATGTATTTTCTTTTGTGCCAATGATCAGCCCATTCACAGACATTTGTATGTGTGTGTCTATGTGGAGAGGTCCAAAATCAGAAATCATAAAATCTTGTTAAATTTGCATCGGGGACAGGCAGGCAGGCAAGCAACAAGCACACAAGCGCATAAATGCTTCTATTCATATACAAAATATGCAAGTATGCGTGAATAGCGAGTCCAGAGCATTGAGACCTGAGAGTAAGTGCGAGCGAGATAAAAGTTAACAGCGTTGCCGTTCTATCGCACAAATCATATGGAAGAGAGTGCGCCAAGCACTTTCCTGTAGAGTAAGCGGTTCAAAAATACATCATATGTATATCTTACTCCCTTACTCGCGAGTTTGGACCAGATGCCTCCGATACTTTTTGTGACAACGTTGTTTTTATGGGATGTCCAGTCTATATGTTGTTTGGTTAGTGACAAATGTCTACAAGGGCATTAAATATTCGGCTTACCGAAAATATCGTTACTTTCTCGTTGATTGTGTGGAGAATCTTACCGTACTCCGCAATGGTAGCACAAATGACTCGGGCAGTATGTCCAAAGCAGCTGAACAAGGGCTTAATCAAAGCTGTATCCAATTTTATATCTGGAGCAGATCCACTTTCTAGTTGCCAAAACTTTAAAGAACGGTCGTCGGAAGTGGTTACTAGCAAACGTGCTGCTAAATGTATGTCAATAGAAAATATAACACCATTATGCGCCTTTAGCCGCAAGCAAAGTCGAAATATTTTGGAACGTGAATTTAAGTTAATATGAACAGGAGTATGTGGCTGCCAAATAAGTATTTCTCCGAATGCATTGCCGCTTATTATATTAAGCTTATTGTAGCATGTGCCGTTCAAAATTGTGTAGTAAAGCAAAGAATAGTCAGTACAACGTGCCAATTCTAATATACTGCATTCTCCGAATTCTATATTATTCGGGTTATTGTATTGTAAACGCAGAAGGGCGCCATGTGCCATGTGCAATACAAATTGACCGCTTCCCTCGTCCTTCAAAAATACGGCTGCATTAATCCAGTCTTTTGTCTCACCTTCATAAATTAATACAAAGGTTTCTTTCTGATTAGTATCATATTTAAACAGTGAGAACTCATTTTCAGCGTAAAATAGTAGCAGCCCCGTTTGCTCACATTTGTGGCTGAAAGCAAAACCGTGTACTTTTTTATAACGCACTTCCTGCGGCAACCGAATATTGGAATTGCTAGAAAGAAAAAGCGCCTGGTTGCCAATAGCTACGAATCATACAAAATATGTTAATATTAATAAAAAGGCATCACCTAGAATTAACGCATACCAGTAAATAAGGAGTGTTGAGAAATATTTAATGCTAAGGCATCCGTAAACAATATATTCTTGGGCTTCATACTTGGCTTTTAAGCTTTGGTTTGCAGTACTGCAATACTTTTATTACACAAATTATTCACAAGCCCACAAATATTTATTATTTATTTCATTCCAACATCCGTCAAATTAGCGACGGTGATTTAGCAGAAACAATTTTTGGATTAGTTCCGGAGCCAGAATCACTCACCTCTAAATGCATTTAATTATGTTATTAAGCACAAAACTACAGTCACGGACAAAAGTATTGGCAATTTAATATTATCTTGTTTTATTGTCGGTTTTGTCCAATATACCGTCTAATATTTAACAATTTTATATTTTTCATACGATTATTAGCTATTTGTGCATGCAATCTAATTATTTTTATAAACTTTGGCGGCATGGTTAATTTTTAATAATTATTTAATTCCAAGTACCCGTAATTTTATAGGGACAAAAGTATTGGCAATTTTCAATATAAAGTTGTTATTTTAATATTATTTTTATATGGT